TTCCTTTTAGGAGAATTATTGGAGTAAATTATAATTAATTATATACTATAAAACTTGATTAATATAAAAACTAACCTATATTAATCCTTAATTTAAATCTATTTTAATATACTTCTAGTGTCCAATATTTGTTGATAACAGTAATACTATTATTTTTATTAAATTGATTTTATAAATTTTAAATTTTAATAATGTTATTGAAAAATTTATTTTGGAAATTTCAGAGAAAATACACAAGTGTGACTAATATGAATGCTTTTTTTATATTTAAATAATTTATCGTTCAATTTATCTTAGGAGATTGTTATAGAGAAGATAAATTTTATTAAGATTGTCCATTGTGTTTATCAAATACCAATAAATATTTCCTTTTTAATTTTACAATTTAGGTGCAATTTCTTAATTTAATTGTAAAATATAACCATTTAATAAGTTTTTAAAGACTTAAGGGATATTATTCTTGAATAGATATTAATTAATTTTGTAAAAAAATCATTTTGAAGGGACAACAGTGATTATACATTGAGTAATAACTGTTTATTATTTTATGTATGTAAAATTTCACGTTGTGCTCAAGTTAATCAATAATTAAGATTCATATATAAAATGGTTAGAGAAGATATAATTATCTCCTTAAATCTTAATAATTTCAAAATTATACTACTTTTTGAATATGTTTTCAAAGTTTTTTAATATCTTATAAATTAACAGGGGATTGATACATTATCTTGAATTGAGAGTTAAGTTAAAATTAATCACTATGATATTGTTAACTTTGTTATATAGTTTAGATTATATTCTAAGATTAACTTTATTTTTTTAATTCTTGTCATATCTTTTTTATTATTATCTTTGTTATTAAATATATCTTTTACTATTTATAAAAACTAATTTTACAAAATTGTTAATTATATCTATTAAGACTTATGTTTATAAATAGTAATAAATTATCAGAATATCTTATGAAATAATCATGTAGTTTTTTGTTAAGTTAGGTTTCAATTAAGTAATTAAAATTAATCTTTATTTACTGTTCTCTTAATGTAGTATCATTTAATATTTAAATCTCTATAAATGCTAAATAATATCAGTTTTTTAAGGAGATCTCAATAAATATACCC